TCTTTCAATTTGCAGCTGGATAAGTTGCTTGATATTCTACGAGGATCAGCTCAATTTGATACAAGATTCCATTGTTACTGCCTCCTCTCATGGCTGCCATCACGAGAAGGTATAACGCCTCTATAAAACCAGCAATCATCATCAGTTGTATTGAAGAAATAGATAACGCGCGCGTGTGCTGTGTGGAGTTATAAAGCACGCGGGGCTTCGCAGAACACGAGAGAAATGTTAGGAGAAGCACGACGCGTAGTGAAGTGCTTCTCGGTTTCTCGGGTGTTCTGCCAATCCCCCAGTGCTTTATAACTCCACACAGCACAGCAAGCAAGTTTTTTATTTCTTTTATAAGATACAAATTGCGATAACCGTTATTTCAGATAGGAATGACGCAACTGGAAGTGTGCGCGTGTGCTGTGTGCTCTAATAAAGCACGCGTTCCCAACCAATAAAAACGCGAGATTTATGCAACAGTTATTTTATAATAGAAAATAAATGACAAAAAATATAATAAAAAATAATGAACAAATAAATTTTCATTACAAAATTCCTTTAGCCATTCAATATTTCCTTCCTATTTGAATAAAAACTTTTCTTATCAAATCTAAGTAAAGTTTGGAATTTTTGAATACCCATGGCCTGTGTAGTTTGGTCAGTGTTAAATTAAACTTTTAAACTTTTTGACGAATTTATTTGGTAAAAGCCTATTTGTTAGCATCATGTTTTCCAGCGCACACTTCAAACAAAGTGCGCACCACGAACGAAGGTACTCGGCGTCAGCAGCAATGCAAGCCGCGGTAAATATCTTTAATCAATAGAGACCTTTCGTTCTTACTAGGTACTGCAAACCTCAATTCGACGCCAGGCGTTTTTCGTCAAACTTGCGACATTTAGTAAGTCGTCATAACGAAGTTGTTGCTGGAAGAGCCGCCATATTGAATTCCATTGATGCAGAAAGTTTTTCCGCGTTTGCGGGCGTGTTTCTGGGCCTGATCCCTCGCGGTTAACTGTTAATCTGATGCTAAAGGTCTCACTGATCAAAGTTTKTTGAAAGTCATGAACACCTGACAGCTGTGCATTGTGGTGGTAAAACTAAAGTAAAAACTTGGAGCTTGGCATCACAGCATCCTTGTTTCTGAAAGTTACTAGACTCACTGTAAATCGGGTCTCGTACCATGGACTCGCGAACCAAAAATTGGGGGGRAAAAACCACTCGAAGAAAATTTAAACTGATCGAAAAGACAAGAAAATAAAATCTTCATAAACCTCTTTGTAACGTTTTTATCACAACTATAAGAATTCGTGACTGCATGAGAGAGCCGATCAAACACCCAGGACAGGCAACAACGGTCGCGTCATTCATCAAGTAAGTAAAGATCGTCACATGACACAGCTGACGTAACATCAATGATGAAAAGGTAAAATATACAMCGTGAAAAGATGAAAAAACTTACTGACATTTCGGACGCTAGTCCTAGCGCTCTAGCGTCCGAAACGTCAGTAAGTTTTTTCATCTTTTCACGGTGTATATTTTACCTTTTCATCATTACTGTTTCATTAGAAACACCGACGCAGCTCACACTAGTTTTTAGCTAGTTATATCTTTTGACGTAACATCACGTAGGATTCGTCACGCAATGATTGTCACGCTTGGTGATGCAATACCCTTGATATCTTGCACAAGCGAGGCGAAGGCGAACGAGCGTCATGCACTGATCAAGTAAAAGGTCGTCACATGACACAGCTGACCTCACATAACTAAAGATTCGTCACGCATCAGCTGGAACGTTTCCGCGTCCTGCATCAAGTATGTAAAGATCGTCACATGACACAGCTGACATTACGTCACTGAGGATGGTGCAATGCGCTTGATGATGCAATACGCTTGATGATGCAATACCCTTGATGATGCATACCCTTGATGTTTGGCGTAATCGACTGTCGTTTACGATGTACATATATACATACATATTTAATTTGACAAAGTAGAGGTTTAGGCAGCCAAGGGCTGATGCGGACCTGTAACGTAAGCCAGGCGTGACTTTCGAATGACATGTTCCTTTGCATTTGGTCAACAAATGCTTTTCAAGAATTATGCATAAGGTCGTGATATTAGATTTGTAAGAATAGAATATTGAACGTAGTTATCTTTGAGCAATAGCAGGGAGGCAGAGATGTGTGATCACCTCCTGATCAATGTTATTGATATGGTAATAATATACTAATTTGATCAGTATTATTGTTAAGATTATTAATAATGATACTGATAAATGTGCTGAGCGCTCAACTAAAAATTCCCAAATGTTTTCATGCTTCTTTTTTTCTTTTAATTAAAACAAGAAATCATACTCAATGAAGTACTCGGGAGAAACAAGTGACATATGTCACATATTGGTGGTTAGGTTGCATGAGAAGTAACGGAAAAGGTAAAGTACCAGTTCCTTAAAAACAAAGGGAACAGATGATTTATAAAGCCTACAATTAACTTTCTTAGCATTTGACTGCGCACAGCATTGACAATGACATTTGATTCACTTGATTGATGGGGCGTGCAAGGCGCGTTCTTCACCTTTAGCAGCAAAATAATAAATGGCTGGGGGGTAAACGTATGATTTTTAAAAAAATTTAAATCCTTATTTTACGAGGGTAACATCATTAACCTCTTAGTTATCATCTAMCTTATGGACTAAAATGGCAATAGATCGGTCCTCCAAACAACTAGCCCTTACCTAACAAAAATATAATTTGCAAATAAAACTGTTATTATAAATAAGGCAATTAGAAAGCAGGTTCCGCATGGATGGAAGACGCTTGTGTAATTTGCATRTCCAAGAGCATTTATAAACTGATGGTAGCCGCTTTCCATCTCACATGTACGTACAGCAATAAAATCTCCTGTTTGCAGGCTCATAAATAATTGGATAAATTTAGTCAAACATGGTAGATGATAAACAAGGACCTCCAACTCAAACCGTCAACATTCGTCGATGGCTAGCAGTTGGATTAATACTCAGCACAATAATAATATGGGTCATTAACTTCGCGACACTAATCAATAACGACTACCTCTACTTTCCTTCCAGACCGCGAGGTATTGACGATCGCATGAGGGCCATACAGAAGGAGATTATGATATCAAAGAATAGAGTCGAGGACAGATCTAAAGCCATGGACATTCTCAACTACACCAAGTTGTCTAAGAATACCAAACCTAAAGTTATTCTTGTATACACAGAGTTTTTCAAGGAAAAAGTCTGGAGTATTTTAAACTCTAGCGAAGTTTTTAATCAATGGAATGGCGTAAAGTGTCCATATTTCCAGTGCAGGCTAACGTACGATCACTCTGAGTTTCTAGCTTCTGATGCGGTACTTTTCCATGCGTTTGAGATGCCAGGGACGTTTGCGCTTGCTAACTTAAAAAAACACAAACCTAAGCATCAAAAATGGGTATATTTTGGCTTGGAGAATCCAGATAATAATCCAAAAGCCGTTGGCCTTGATAACTATTTCCACTGGACGCTTAATTACAGAAGAGATTCTCATTTCTTTTTCCCGTACGGGTATTATTACCCAATCAGTGACTACGGTGATGGTAGAGGACCAAACGCTGAAATCAATCTCAGGTATAAGGATAAATTCGTAGTATGGGCTGTCAGCCATTGCGATCTCCCGAGAGATAAATATGTCCGCAAACTCATGCAGTATATTCCAATTGACATCTATGGACAGTGCGCAGTCAAATTCACTGATAAACCAACTGGAGAGTGCAAACCGAACTCACCCCAATGCGACGAGCTCAAAAGAAGGTACAAGTTTCAGCTGGCGTTCGAGAACTCGAACTGTGTTGATTATATTACTGAGAAATACTGGGGTGCTGTTGAAATGGGTATCGTACCAGTAGTTCTAGGAGGGTCGAGTTATGGAAAACGTCTAGCAGTACCTGGCTCTTTTATCAACGTTATGGATTTCAAAACAGTCAAAGACCTCGCGAATCACCTCAAATATCTTGATGAGAATGACGAGGCTTATATGAAGTATTTTCAGTGGAGGAGACGTTATAAGGTTGGGCCGTCTGGGCCATGGACTTGTGCAATGTGTGCTGCGTTGAATATGAACACTAAGACCGTACCAATTGAGAAGCTGGATGATTATTGGAGCAGTAAGAGACAATGTGGCGTGATGGACAAGAAGATTGCCCAGATTATTAGAAATACAAAGTCCAATTGAAACTAAGAAATCACCTACTAGACACTTGTAGTACGAGTGGAATGAACAGAAAGATAGCATAACGTGGCATTGCGCCGTTCATCCATTTATGCATGCATGCATGCATGCATCAAACAGAACTTTATTTTGCACCATTAAATATATATTTATAAAATAACTGTTATGAATGTCGCGTTCTGATTGGTTTGGAGCGCGTGCTTTATGAGAGCACATTGCACGCGCGCGCACTTTCCGTTGCGTCATTCCTATCTATTATTGTAATTTGTATTTTATAAAAGAAATAGAAAACTTGCTTACTATGCTGTGTGGAGTTATAAAGCACTTGGGCATTGGCGGATCACTCGAGAAGTGTCGAGAAGCACTCCGCTACGCGTCGTACTTCTCCTAACACTTCGCTCGTGTTCTGCCAACCCCTGCGTGCTTTATGACAGCACACAGCACGCGCGCGCGTTTTCTATTTCTTCAAGATAAATACATGTATGTACATGTATAGTTATATATACACAAATGTTATATTAACAAATCACCTAATTGAATTACAAATATAAACTGATGTATCTATGAGATAAATATTAATAAGTATATGTACATATATAAGTTAGACTCAAATTTAGTTAATCTGAGAAATAGAAACAAAAACAATTAGATAGATACTTAAGTACTGTAAGGCCCTGGCTAAACGAGGAAACATGTTTCCAAAAACATGTTTACAGCGCGCATGTTTCCTCGATGTTTCCCAGTTTAGCCACATGCGAAACATTGCTGCGTGCAACAAATTTTGCTTCCAAGACGCAAAACAAGTTTTTGCTGTGCGGCAGAAACATTTCATGTTTCCAAGACGCATGGAAACATTGTTTCCCGATGTTTCCTGACAGTTTTGCCACCTTAGGAAACATTTAGGGAAACATGTTTCCTCGTCTAGCCAGGGCCTAAGTCCCCATTCATAGTCCCTCATTAAAACACCGCTGACCAGCTGACATTCACAATGTGCGCAGTAGACCTTGCAAATGAGTTGCAAATCTAGTATTATAAAAACAACAAAAGTGCAGTCGGTTTTAACATGTATTCCAGCCAATTGCAATCTTTTTTAGTGCATTACAATTTACGTCGACTGACAGGAATAGTTCTCGTAGCAAGTACAATCATTATTTGGACGTTTAATAACTTTACAATCGGATCATTCAATTTACGATCATATCTACAACCACAACACGTTGATGATCGTATTCGCGTCATCCATTATGAGCTACAGAGGACGAAGAAACGGCTAGAAGACCCGAAGCACGCTAAGACATTGGGCGAATATTCACTTAGTTCCAGCAAGCAATTTAAGGTAGTTCTGGGTTATACAGCATTTTTCCACGAGAAACCATGGGGTTGGATGAACGGGACGAAAAGATTCAACCATTGGGAAGGAATAGCTTGTCCTTTCTTCCACTGCGAATTAGTTTTCGATAACAAAAAGTTTCGTAGCGCGGATGCTGTTTTATTCCACGCTAAAGACATGCCTGGCCGTGTCGAAATGTATCGAATATACAAACAAAAGCCCAAAGAGCAAAAGTGGATCTACTTTGCTCTAGAGCCCCCAACGTTTAACCCTGACTCAAAATGGCTGAACAACCTATTCCACTGGACGCTAACCTATCGCAGAGATTCAGATTTTTATTCTCCTTACGGATACTACTATAGACCTACGAATGGAGTCAAAGACGCTGATGGAATTATAAACAAGATGATGAGAAGAAAAGACCGTTTTGTAATGTGGGCTTCTAGTCACTGTGCACTTCCCAGAGAAAAATTTATCAAAAAATTAATGAGTTTTATAACTGTTGATGTTTATGGAAAGTGTGCGAGTTTTGTGGGGGTTAAAAGTCCAGGCGAATGTAAACTTGATGCTCCTGAGTGTAATCGGCTTAGACAGCGATATAAATTCCAGTTAAGCTTTGAGAATTCAAACTGCAAAGATTATATAACAGAGAAATACTGGAACGCTTTGCAGTTAGGAATAGTGCCAGTCGTGCTCGGCGGTGCTAACTACAGCAACCCCGAGTTAGCTATCCCTGGATCGTACATCAATGCATTGGACTTCAAAAGTGTTAAAAAACTAGCAGAATATTTGAAATACCTTGATCATAACGATAAAGAGTATAGGAAGTATTTTGAGTGGAGAAAACTGTATAAGAGAATCGTTTATGCACCCTGGACGTGTACACTGTGTGCAGCATTGAATATGAATACGAAGAAAACCTATATCAGTCGGTTGAGTGACTTTTGGAGCGTCAACAAACAATGTGGTATTACAGACAATGCTATGAATAAAATTATAGATGCTGAGTAAAATATATATAGCTCAACTGGCACGTTTTTATGCTTATTAGCAGTTTTGAACACCCATTTTTTGCGAAAGAAATTAAGAAAATGAAGTGGATTAAGAAAGAATTCGGGAGTTTTCAACTTTTGAGGAAAAAGGGATTGTTTTGTTTGTATTCTATCTAAGCATATAAATATAATAATCGGACAGAACTTAAAAACAATAAAGAAATATATACATATTTTAAAAGATTATTCACTACACCTTTTACAACCCGTTATTAACGCGACCGCAATTTTTTAAACATGCGTGAGAAATGTTCAATTTTGGCGTTAATGCCAATATCATTTTGGGTAATTCGTTCATTGAGTTTAACTTATTGGTTTATCTAGATYGTACGAATTCTGTTTCGAAGAGTTTTTAATAAAATCGAAATAATTTTAAGATTTCACGTGGGCAACTCAACTCAACTCTTACAATAGTGTGTGTGCAACCATGTGACTCAAGATACCTTGAGATATGAATAACAATGAAACAGTCGCCATCTTGGTTGATCTAGCGAGAGAAATGCTTTGTTATCGTCATCCAACATGGCGGCAATGACGTAACATGCACCTTGCTCTATACTCGCTGCAAATAGGATTGCTATAATTCCGATTATTATCATTATTATAGCAATAGAAATGAAAAAATAATAATAAGCCTGAAGCGAGATGACGTTTTACCCCCGTCTCTAGACCATAATCCTTTTCACATTGCTTTTGTTCTTTAATTATGACTATTGTTCTTGTATTCTCTAAGGAATGAAAAATTTTAATATGAAAGAATTTTAAAAACTATTATGGTATAGAATCGGGGGTAAAACGTCATCTCGCTTCAGGCTTATTGGTGTTAAATATTATGTTGATATCACATAACTATAACACATGCGTAATAGGTAAATTACGAACCTTACATGAAACGACTGAAGATGAGTGCCAATGGGCCTTTCACAACTTCAAGTCGCGTAAAAA